CATTAAGTAAAACCTCTTATGTCAGCAAGGCAGGACACATTGCAGCGTGTTCTTGCGTGAGCAGTGGTCGGGGTCTCTCGTCCCTTTTCGAGGCTGCTGTAAGATCACAATTCAAGAATCACTCCCGGGGGACTGCACTCTGCTTTCATTTCCCTTTTTTTGACTGACTTTACTGCTTTGGTTCCTTATGCGTCTTTCCCACCTGGGTTGTCTTGTCACCATGTTTATTTTCTTGTGTCTTTTTGAGCGTTACCCAAAGGTTATTTTAAATTCAGTGTTGTAAAAACAACATCCACCTCACCACACATTTTATTATGGACTGTTCAAGAACGGGCATGGCATTTTAAGACTGTTCTTAGGGCTTCAAACTTTCTCCCCCCATCTTCTAACTTTATAGGAAACTGCTGTGATTGGATGATCCAATGTAGCATGTGGAAAACAGCTACTATTTCGTCATGTCTAGCTCTCTGGAATACCTGCATCTACAGTCCATCTCATGAGCTGAAGGGGTGCAACTCCTCTCACTGCGTGTACCCCGTGCAGAGAACTTTTTGCTTTGGTGAGGCTTTCACTTTGTCCCCTGGGACCTTCTGTGGCTGGCAGTTCACATGCAGCACCTGCAGTGCTACATTTAAAACTAACTAATGCATTTAAATGTTTTTATTTTAACCCCCCCACCACTATATTATAAAGATAAAACACCTAGAAAGTGAAACTGCGTGATGTCCTTGCAGTTTAGAACTTCCGTGTGGGAGCCATTGGCTAACTCTCTTTCTCTCCTCCTTTTGGTGTGATTTTTTTTTTTTAAACAGTGGTTCACAGATACTGAAGGTTTTTTTTTAACCTTCCAGTTTAAGTCTTTCTCAATGGCAAAGTAGCATTGCATTCCTGCAGCTGGGTGAAAGGTGTGTGTCTAACAAAAGTTTCCCTGGCAGCAGCATTCATAGCCGATGCCTCAATGGATACAGTGAGGTTCTAAGCCAGAGCTGTGGCCTCCAGTTCCATAACCAGGCCCCCACCCTGGAAACAAACTGGTCTTTTCTGGCTTTGAAGTTACTTGTAGCTTCTGTTTTCCTCACAAGCATGATTACTTTGCGCAGGTGTAAGAAAGATGCAGATCTACAGAACAGGCTTTGTCAGGCCTGACTATAACTTCGCTCCCAACAAGAAACAATTTCTGTGGCTCTGTCACCAGCTATGAAACTACAAACTATGAAACTCAGCCCGTGGACAAAGTCCATCCCTTAAACTAGAGTAGTCCCAGGGAGAAATTGGACTCTCAATTTGAAACTTGAAGCTTCCAGTTAAGGTGCTGCTATGCCTCTCATTTCTATTCCTAGAGGTGAACTTCAGTAGTGAATATTGGTCTTAATTCACCAGTGCTTGGTAAGTTTGAGCCTGGTGAGGTTCTTAGAGAAATACATGCTCCACAATGTCCCTTGGCCCTGATCCTGGGTTGTGCTTTCTAAGTGCTACAGTATTATCAACTAAATTCATGTAGCTATGATGTTAACTATAAGTATCCTCATCTTTTCCCCCCAGTTCCCACCTTCCCACTGTAATCTCAGCCAGCCACTGAGCCCTCCGGCACAAAAGGCGGCCAGATGTAAATAGGGAAAAGCAAAGGTTTCTTGGGTCTGTCTCATTTGGGATCTGGCAAAGGGAAAAGTTCTGTTGTCTCTTTCCTTTCCACTGAGCAGCCCTGACAGACCAGCCCTGCTTCATCATTCATCTTACCGCCCCATAGAGCAGAGCACCTGCTGTTACCTTGGTGCAGCCTGTGCCTTCCTGTCTCACTGTACTGTCTCCTCTGCTCAGGGCTGTAAATGTCTGTCCTTCCCAACAGCACCTCTGTGTATTCAGAGCCTTCTGTTTTACAAAGCCAGTTGCCTTTCATCATCTTTGCAGATTTCCAATTAGCTTGAGAGGATTTCTTGCCCCCAGCCTCCCAAACCTTTGCTTGAAAAGAAGCAGGTTTCGTTTCTCCTCTACCTCCACCCCTCAGACTGGGAAATGCGGTTTGGCTTGTTGGCTTTTCAGCTTTGCTACTATTACATGAGCATGTGTCAGCTGATAGAAATGCTACTTGGCTCTTCCCCATGCAGGATCTTCAGTGCCCAGTTTGTGCCAGAAGCACAGCTGTTTTGAGATGAAGATGTGTGGTTGAAGGAATAGCGTCAATTTCTCCCCACCTTGCACTCAATTCATGATCATCCCTGACAGTATGTATTCTTAATACAGTCCACATGGTAATGATGGGGCTTCCATTACCTCCCTTGCAGCTCTTCACAGTTGAAAAGCTCTTCGTTGGGAAAGTTTTTCCTTGGTATTCAGCCTAGATGTTTTCCTTTTTGTTCCTAGGTATGTGTTCTTAATCTAGCCAAACCAATTCCTCTTCCTCTTTTGTGTGTACACCCATCCAATACTAGCGGCCATTGCCCGTCCCCTCTTATGATGTCCTACAAAATGCATTTATTTTACATCCCATGGATTCTGATCTTCTTTCCAAACAAAATTCATTGGAAAACAGCATCTCGTGCATCAAAATATTTGCTGTTACCTATAAGGCCAAGGGTTTGTGGAGATGTGAAGGCCTCCTCCGGTAGCCTGGCAGGTGCAGAACTGATGTAGTGGGGAGAGAGTACCTAGGGTACCCACCATCACTTACAGGTGTTGAACTGCTCCTTGCCTTGTGTATTTACAGCAGTTTTGCCAAAGGTTGGGAGAATATTTAGTACAGGTGGACATTTCCTAAGCTGTGGGTGAATGTGTCAGCCGGATTTCACCATAGCCCCTGTGCAACTGTTTGTGCAGTCAGAGGTGCAGAGCAAACTGCCTTTTCTGTTTGCAAATGCAATAGTAGGACTTTTCCTGGGAGCAGAAATCCAGACCTGTAAGCTGGAAGATGAGTCATGCCCTAAGGAGCACCTCTAGATGGAGTATTTGAGGAGACACTTACCTCTCACTCTTGACCATCCACCTACAATGCAGAGAGAGGAAGGTTCTGTGTTTAGAATTTTTATTTTTAAGGGAGAGGACCTACTTACTCCCCCATGAGAACGAAGTCCTCTAACTTCTCACCAGGACAGCAGCACAAGTGGTGGTGCTGGTTGTTCCTATAGACACTACCTCCACCACTGTGTCTCAGTCCTGTATCCCGGCAGTGTCACCTCTAGAACTGAGGGTTCAGTCTCCGTTGTCTCCACCTCTCTGCTTAGAGAGCCAGGGAACTGGTCCACACCAATGAGGCTGGTGTTTCTTTGTGATGTGGATGTTTGGCTGCTGCCCTGAGTGCCCCCTACTCCATTGCTTCATATTCTGCAGGTTGCTATGTTCATTCACTCCCACCTTGTCTGTTCTAATGACGGACGTAGGGCTAAAATGTTCCGTCTCCCCATTGTGAGCCACCTGGGCTCTGGCTGGTGTCTACTGTTGTGGTAGACTGAGACTCCCCTCTAGCAAGGCAGTTGCTGAACTTTGCTAACAGCTTCTGCTCAAGCATTTTCTCTTTCAGAGCAGAGGCCTCTGTTGAAAGCTGCTGTTCTCACGCTGATACCACCATTCTTCTCTTGCTCGAGTCTTATTCATCTGAGGGTCCCTCAGAACTTTAGATGCTAGTTCACTGTAGTGGGGCAGGGGGGCTAGTGCTTGTCCTGTTTTCCAGTTAAGGAAACAAGTACAGGGAGGGGATGTGAGTTGCTCATGGTCACCAAAGAAGTCCCTGCTGGAGCTGAAAGCAGAACCCGGGAATCCTCCTCCCACTCCCCAGTGCTGCTGGAACAAATGATATAGCAGGGGGTGCTGAAAGCCACTGACCCAAACTCTAACTCCTTTATATAATAGAAACCAATTCAAGCTCGGGGGAGCGGCAGCACCCTTAGTTCCAGCACCTCTGCCCTCCCCTGCTGAAACCACCAGCCCCATACGTACAATGCCACTTTCAGCACCAATTGCCCCTGGACAGCTCTGCAGCCTCTAGAACAGGCACCGGAACCTTTCACAGCGGGCTCTTGTTTCTCCTCGGGCCCTCATCAGCGACGCACCCCGGAGCCCGGAGGGGGGGGGCGGGCATTGTCCTGGCTTCATGGGTAGGCGAGGCCAGAGACGCTGATTGGCGTCCCCTCCAGCCAGTGAGAAATGGCGGTTGCTCGCCTGGCGTCCCCAGCAGCCAATCACAGGTGGACGTCTCCGGAAAGGGTGGGACCTCAGGGCTGGGGGGTTGCCTGGGCGTGGAGCCGGCCAAAGATCCCGAAGGTAAGTGAGGAGGCACCGTCCCGGAACCCGGGCGCGCTGGGGGACAAGGCCCTGTTGGGGGGGGGGGGGGGTGGGGGGGGGGGCCGGCGGGTGGGGGGGGGGGATTTAGAGGGGAGGTCAGGTGGGGACAGAGGGGGAGGTTAGGGGGGCGGGGGGAGCCTGGCATGAGAGATCCAGGCCCTGGGTGGAAGCCTGGGGACGGGTCATTAGAGGGTCTAGGAGCCCTGGGCCTCCTGGGAGTCGGAGACAAGGAGCTGGGGGTGGCCAAGGGGCCCCTGGGGCAGGTGGCCACGTAGTCTTGGTGCTGGGCGAGCCTGGCCCCAGGGACCAAGGGGCTAGTTTGAGGGGATGGGGAGGGGCAAAGACAGGGGTCGTGCTGCCGCCTGGATGCAAAACGAGGCGACTTTATCCTGCTACGGCCCAGCTCTGTGAGGCGGGTGGGATGTCCCCCCACATCCCAAGGCTGGCAGGGCTTTAAGATGTCCGGCCATACTGTGGGGGCAGTGTGATGGTGTAGTGACCCAACAGCACTATGCTCTGAGGAGGCAGCAAAGCTAGGTGGAGAGTAGCCCCCCCAAATGAGGGACTAGCCGCAGCAGCTAGAAAATGCCGTTGGGGTTCCAACCCTCATGTCTTGGGTCAGCATTTTTGATGCCCTAGGAACGCAGGAGCTACCATCCTCTGTCAGAAGACTGTTCAATCTAAATGTGCCGTGCCCAGCCCCGTTTGATAGGGCTGTCATATGAGTTACAGGCATTAACAACCTTCCCAAATATTTTCAGGGATCCCAGCATGGTCTTGATTGTATGACAACATAGCATGATCAGAACATCATATCGACTTTCTCCTGGAGATCAAAGCATTTACAAATGGCAAACTTGATTCGTCACTGTCCCTTTTTTCAAGTCACCAGTCCAGTTTTCGTGTGCCTTTTCAGGGGGAGAGAGGGGGCATTAAAACAGTCTTTGGGTCTGGTACAATGTTATAATGCAACAATTTTGTTCTGGGAGAAATTATCTACAAAATGGTAATTCCCCTCTGCTATTAGAACCATGCAGCTCAGAAAGGAAGACATTCTGCAGAGGAGTAATACACTGTTCTTAAAAGATTGTGGGTTGCTCCAAAGAAACTAAGGGTGTTTCCAATCGGAGTGTATATTCAGAATCCTCTGTGGACTTTGATTGCTAATTCAGTATAGGCAAGACAGCTAATGTTGAATATGTTACCTTTAGTTAGACAAACATATGTTTTAATACACATGCATTGGGGAAGATACTTTCTTCAGGATTGACAACTCTGGAGAATGAAGTTCTCTCTAGCTACAGATCAGGTACAGTGAAGGTAGTGGCAGATCAACCTTACTGGCAATGTACCTAAGCCCTGACCTGGACGGACCACCTTGGAAACATGATAGAGGAGTTCTCTCTCTGAATTTGTTCACTCTTTGGCTTCTCTGCCAAGTTTGAAAATGGAACCGGTTGGCCCACTTGTTGACAAAGGTATTTTTTCATGATTGGGCATGCCTCTCCACCGAAAACTTGACTGAGATCCAGCAACTCACTTCACACACACCACCAGACAGCCATCAGACAGTAACCCCTTTAATTCACTACTGGCTTGGGGTTGAATTGGAACTGTTAACCTACAGATGAAAGGCCCTAAATCCTTTTACCAGACCCACAGCCATTTAATTTTTTTAAATAAACAAAAGTGTAGAATAACCCAGACCAAGGAAATCTGTAGCCCCAAGGTTTTTTGTTTTCAATCTCATTTGCTGGTCCAGTAACCAGGTATCCAATTATCTACCTTGTCCATCATTGGCTTGAGCATTGGTATGGCTATGAACATTTTCTCTTTGTTCATTAGAGTGAAATATATTGTGGTTCAGATTGCTGAGTGCTCCCGGCCGTAAGGAACTCTTTACCTTTGAGTCACGGCAGTAAGAACCTCTCAACATGCCGTTGATTTGACTTTGTAACTTAGTTCAGTGTAATAGATAAGGGAAGTGGGCTAGAATCTTAGCTGTGCTTCTTCCTAATTTCTAGATCTCAAGGGAAACATCATTGATGATCGTATACCTTTAAAAAATGTTTAATCTTAATTTAACCCATTTCTTCTTTTAAAGTGCTTTGTGGGATACAAATTGCACCCTGGCTGCATATGCCATGTGGGGGGGGAAACTTTTATGTTTCAGAGTAAATTGTTTATAATGATCCAGGGAGCTTGAGTTTTACATCTTTGTCTTCTGCGAAGCTACCATCTGTTCGTTCTTTCACCCACTCTGTTGTTGTTCTGTATGAGAAAATAAAGAATAAACACTGAATTTCTGCCTAGGGCTTCCCTTTAAAGCGGCATACTACAGATGGTTTAGGTTTTTGCTAAACAAAACTAATCATATTTCAAACCCTAATAACATACATGATTTCAGGATTGTTTATTCATTTAATTTAAAACAGGCTTTTTAAATAATTCAGCCATTCACCTGCAGAATTGGCAGCCCAAACATTGCAGCAGGATTTTCAGCCCAACCATAGCTACATTGCAATCCGGGCATAAGAAACTGAAATTGACCCAGCTAAGTAAAATTTAAAAAGAAAACCACATAATTGGTAAAAGTGTAATTTCAACAACATACCCTAGGTGAAGTAATATTCTTCCGAGGTGGCTTGAATTAAAGCCCTTATCCTGCAGTTGGATTTTGGTGGGTGCAAAGTTCTGCCCATGTGGATCCAATTGCAGGATTGGTACCTACATTCTCTGCATTTTACTGTGCCTAGGTCTCTGATGGTGCCTTAAAAACGGAGGCTGTCTCTCTTCAGTATGAAAGATCCGGTGGTGCTTTTTACAGGATTATGAGTTTGCCCTGTGTCCTAACTTTGAAAATTTCCCTTTTCTCTGCTTACCTCCCTATCCCCATTTGTGCGTGCTAGCTGTTTGGTTCCCTCCGCTCTAGAGATGGCTGCATTTTAGTGGTGAGTGACGTAATTCCTGTGTATAGACTGAAATGCAAGTTTGGGATGAAAGGCGCTCTGTTAGATAGTATAACTATTTATTTACATAGGAAAATATCATTTGTCTTGCTCCTTTCCACAGCTAGCGAGCTCAGGAGCATGATTCTCTGGACACTTGTTTTTGCTGTTTAAATGCTGATGTAACAATTAAAGTAACTATCTGAAGGACCCCAGCAAACTCACTTTTCACAGAGTCCCTGGCAGGGGACATTCTCCAGGGAGACAAGATGAATATCAAAGCAGTCAAAGTTCTCTGTCTGCTGGGGGTCTTTTTCCTCATGCTGCTTGGGTCCCTCCTGCCCGTCAAGATAATAGAAGCGGATTATGAGAAAGCTCATCGCTCCAGAAAGGTCATTGCCCTCTGCAATTCCTTCGGAGGAGGGGTCTTCCTGGCCACCTGCTTCAACGCCTTGCTCCCCGCCGTACGAGAAAAGGTAGCTGTGGGCAAACTCGTTGGGGTTTTGTCTTGCAGCTGTAATGACTCCGGATAGTCCCTTCTGTTCTGATGCGGGGATTTGGGAGAGTCTCTGCTTTCAGATGATATTGCTTTGAAGATGTTGTCCGATATGATAATGGTGCTATGGGTTTCCCAGCGTGTTCAGGAAGCTACCACGTTATCAGACTAAACCCTCTGCTCTGCCAGCTAGTGCCCAACATCTCCACATAGGGGCTTCTCCTAATCCCAGTCCTACAAAGGCACATGCATGGGCTGCCCTTAACCCCAGACTCATCATTATGAGACTAGGCCGTCCCAGCTTCATTGCATATTAAAGTGCACACCATTAAACAGAAGCCATGGGAACCCCGGGAAGAGGCTGATCCTTAAAGCAAGGTGGAGGATCCTAGAGACCCAGTAACACAAGCCTGATGTACCCTAGCGAATGCCCGTGGTTGGGAACCTGCTGTGGTTCCGGCCTTTACATTGAAAACTTTTCAAGTTTAGGGAGGAGTCCCCCATGTCATTTTTAATGGTGAACGACACAGCCAGTTTCACTGCAGATTCCTTTTCCTTTGTTCCAGCTTCAAGAAGTTCTCAAGCTTGGGAAGGTGACCACAGACTACCCCCTGGCCGAGACCATCATGCTGCTGGGCTTCTTTATGACTGTCTTTGTGGAGCAGCTCATCCTGACCTTTCGGAAGGAGAAGCCTTCCTTCATCGACTTGGAGACCTTCAACGCCGGCTCAGACGTCGGGAGCGACTCAGAATATGAGAGCCCCTTCATAGCATCTTCCAGAGGGCGCACGCTTTACCATGAGCACAGCCACCACTCCCACAGCCATGGCTTGAACGTCCAGGAGCTTTCCCAATCCAGCCCCTTGCGGCTCTTCAGCCTGGTGTTTGCCTTGTCTGCCCACTCCATCTTTGAGGGCCTGGCCCTGGGCCTCCAGGAGGAAGGAAACAAAGTTATGAGTCTGTTCTTGGGCGTGGCCATCCACGAGACGCTGGTGGCTGTGGCACTGGGCATCAGCATGGCTAAGATCTCATTAACACTGAAGGACGCTGCCAAGCTAGCACTTACGGTGAGTTTGATGATTCCTTTGGGCATTGGGATCGGCATGGGCATCGAGAGCGCCCAGAACGTGGCCAGCAGCGTGGCTTCTGTGCTCTTACAGGGCATTGCTGCGGGAACTTTCTTGTTCGTCACCTTCTTTGAGATCCTGGCAAAGGAACTGGAAGATAAGAATGATCGCCTGCTGAAGGTCCTCTTCCTGGTCTTGGGCTACACGGCCTTGGCGTTGCTCGTCTTTTTCAAGTGGTGAAGGCTGGAGCGACGGACAGTAAACCCCGACTCCTCCCCGTTGTAAATGGTGCCGAGAACAAGACCCCTTTCCAGCCAAGTAGGGACGCAGAGGAACACCACAGTCTGGGGGGTGTTTACGCATCGACCTGGCAAAGGGAGAATTGTTCCCTAGGGGTGCACAGAAAATAAGATTGAGTAGTGTCCAAAAAGAGGTTTCGTGTGGCATTGGAACAATGGGTTGGGGAGTTGGTGCAGGGATTGCTGGAGGTCGTGGTGAAGTAGTTGGCTGTAACGTTGCCTCCGAAGGGACCTTGTCAGCTGTGCGCTCTGCTATTTGTCTAGAGATCCCACCCCCCAGCACAGGATAACCTGTGTCTCCTGCCTTCAGGCTCTGGGCTCCGAGGAGGTGAAAAGCAATGGAGAAATCAAACTGAAAGCGGGCTGGGATAATGGAGCGTAAGACAGCACTAAGCTGCTTGTACCAGTTTAGTTTTGAGTAGAAACCTGGCTGGTGTTATTACCTGCCAAAAATATCAACTGTTCTGGGATACAACAAATGTCTTTTAGGTGTGATTTGGGCCAGGATCCTCTGGTGGCAGAGCGTCCGTTAACCCACACAAAGTCCATCGGGTCGGTATTGTTCCTGAGAGATTAATCAAAGAAACAGGCCAGAGTCCTTTTTACCCCCACGTGTCACGTTCCATCACTGTTGTCTGGCCCTTCATTGCACAGTCACTGTTGTGAATCTCTAGGAGTTTGGGTAATGATCACTTTGGAAAATGTAGCGTTAAAATCCAAAATCCTTTCCAAAGCATCCAGGGAGCTCTGGCTACATGGTCTTGAATTTGTACAAATGGATGTTTGCAATTTCCAGAATCCATAGTTCGGTCATTTCAATTGTCTGAGGTGGATTTTGGTTTGTGGGGGGGTCACCCTTGGATGGATCTGAAATGGCTCTCCCAAAGCCACGTCTTCTTTGTGCTAACGTGTTTGCTTCTCTCTTATACCGGCACATCTGTCCCATATGGTGACTGACGAGGACCAACTGATGGTGTCCGGCAACCAATATTTTAATTGCTACAGAACACCAGAGTTAATTAATCTTACTTGGAAGAAATGGGGAGGGGCTAATTTTAGGCCTCAGATGACCCCAGTTAGCAAGGGCCAATTAAAATTCAGTTTGGCTTGATGTGCCAATTTGGTGCCCAAATACAGAATTGTGGGCAGGTGGCATTGCAAACGTTCTCTCTGTTTTCTCACTCAGAGCTAGCCACCACATGGAGGTTTGGCTCCTGTGCTGCAGTCACAGCCTATCCTGCTGCTTCTATCGCTCGTCCTTCATTCTGGCCTCTGGTTTTGATGGCGAGACAGGCATAGTGTCCATAATGACTTGGCTATTTCTGCGTGTAAAAAACATTCAATCAGATATGCAAACTACACAACGGCTGTAAAACACGAGTGGCAAGGGAGTATCCTTCGGGGTCTTTGATGCCGTGAGATAGGATAGATTGTATTCTTTCCTGCTCTCCCACGCCACCTTAGTATCCGGGAATCTATCCGTTTGGTTTGGATCTTGAATCGTCCTCACCACTGGAGTGACTGAAACCTGGGGGATGAGTCCAGATGTTCTGTGTTCAATTCTGACCCTGCCACAGAAGCCCTGAGTGACCTTGGATAGGTCTTTCCCCCTCTGTAAAAAGGGGCTATTTATCCTGCCTCCTGGGGGTGTTGTGAGAATTAGCCAGTTAATGTCCCAGCTACGGAAGTGCTGAGTATTATCATTAAAAAGGGGTGGTGCGTGCAGTGAGAATGGACCCCAACGGGTTTGATGTGGGCTTTAATGTGAGGCCACGGGCAGTTCACAGGGGGCTGCTTTTATGTTGTTCATTTTGTAAATCAAAGGTGGGATGGGTATTGCTGCTGGTCTGCGTCTGGCTGCAGACCCTTTTGTCCTGCCCAGGCTCCATCCTGCAGGTAGGCAGCCAGAAGATTTGAGCACCTCCCAGACAGTGGAAGTGGGCGGTGTCTGAGTGCCAGGGTTTTCACTTGCCCATTTGTTCAAGAGCATTTTGTTTTCCTCCACTTCCACATTCAGGAACCTCCCCCATCCTCCAACCCTTAGCTGGCCAGGCAGGGCTGCTATTACAATGTGGGAGCGGCAGTCTCTATCAGACTGTCACATGTACAGGCCTGTCAATTCTCTTATGCTCTGACTGTGACTGGGGCTGCGTATTTTGGGGTAACGTGACCCGGAGAAGCGAGGTGCAGCAGAGTTGGCTCTCCCTTCTGTCGTCAGCTCTTTCCTGTAAGAGGAGCCAAAATCCCCAGGTGGTATCCGGATTTGCCTCTCTCCTGTGGCGAACCACAACCACTGGCAGTGGCTGCCTTTTTACTGGAGCTCCCACGCACCTCTGCCAGCGCTTGTAGGAGCCCCTCGTATTTGCTGAATGTTAATCAGAGCAAGGTAGGAGATGGAGCGTCTCCCTGTAAGTGATCCACAGTCTGAAGGATGCTCTCAAGCTAAATCAATAGCCAAGGCTCATCCCAGCAAAGCTCCAGTGATTTGCAGGAACGTGCCTACCCCAGTCCAAACCAGGAATAGATTTCCTGGCCCAGAAAGATGCACTTGCTCAGTGGTACGTCTGGGTTAAGCGCCCCTCTCTGCAGAGTTTGTCCAGAGGAGAGAGCAAGAGTCCACGTTTCCTTCTCTGGGAAGTTAGCAGCATCTTCTGTCAGCATCCGTCCCCCACCCTGCTACTGCTGAGTGGGTGCCTGGCTCAGGCCTGCAGGAAGCCTCTTCAGGAGTGCAGGCGAGATGACTTACTCTCTGCTGGGACACACAGGAAAGCTGCCCCGTGGCTCTGGGCATGTGTTTGTGCGTGCGCACGTGTCCGTCCCGTCCCGTCCCCCCGGCCAGTGCTGCAGGTTTCCTTCCATGGAACGTGGCTTTGATTTCATCTTGACGTTCTCGTAGCAAGATCTCAGGACAGATTGCTGGCCTTTATGGACAGGGAGCTGCAAGGTCCGGCCCAGGCGCTGCACCGTGCTGAAATCCTCCCAGTCGCATCAGATGGTAGAAGGGCCTTTGCAGCCGTTTACATGGCCGGAGTTAAACTGGGGCAGGCGCGGGGTCATTCAGCTCCTCTCACTGAATGTCATGCGCACACATACCATGTAGAGGAAGGGCTCCTCCTTTCCAGCGTGGGATGAGTGATGTAGACGTGCACGTGGATCCCATCCGGGCCCCTGGGATGATGTGTTTGGTCTGCCGAGGTTTTAACTTGTTCTAGCTACCGCTCAGCCTGCAGTTTCTTGTATCAAGAATGTCTATACTGCCATTTCTAGCCCCGCAAGCCAGAGTCAATTCACCCAGGCTCGGTGCCTCGGCCCCCCAGTAGACACACCCCACGACACAAAAGGAGACAATGGCCAAACTTAAAACTAGTCTTTGTAACAAGGAGAAATACCTGGCTTTAGCGCAGTTGCCTTCCCGGCCCAGACTAGAAAGAACGGTGAAAGTTCAGGGAACTCGAATGGCTCTGAAAATGTCACTCCCATTTTCGTCTCTCTCATAAACGCTGGGTTTCTCCAAAGGAGTGTCAATTCGGGAATAGTGCTGTGGTTAGAGAGAGATAGCTAACCTGTTAGTGGAAACATCCCCTCGGCAGGGCAGAAGGTGTGTTCTCCAATCAGATATCCGATTTTCACCTTCTGTTAAAGACCAAGTGAACTGTACCGCTTTGGTGTAGATTTCAGTTTCAAAATAGTTTATTTTACAAGCGTATGTCTCGATTCTGCAGTCGGATCCATACAGAGGGACCCTGCAATAGCACAAATCCGATCAGAAAATCGGCCCTAATGAAGGGACAAATAATTGAGTACACTGTGGGGCATGAGGAAGTTCTGATTGTTGTCTGTGTTGTGTGTCCATATGATTGTTGGTTCCCAGACGCGCTGACTGACCCTTCTTACCCTGCCTCTGTACCGTATTTCATTGTGGTCCGGGGTAATGTGTTTTTGAGCTAGACAAATGCAATGAATTGAATAGAATCTAAGCGAAAATCCATCAGCTGCTCTGAGTTTAAGAGCGAGGAGGGCTCCATGGGAAGTGAATTTTAGAGCGCACTGGGGTTCTTCAGTGCTTGTGTCACATCCTAAATGGATACGTGCGAACAGGGGCATAGTCCCGGTGCTGTGGTTGCCACATACAGACGACTCCTTGGAAGAAGAGGCAGTCCCTGGTGTTTTTTTTTTTTTAAGCAAGGGCTAGGCAGACACATCTGCAGCCTTTATAAATGGGACAGGGCGGTGGTTGTAAATAGGAATGCTGGTGTCGGTATTAATATCTAATATGGGACAGATCTAAATGTCAGATAACATGGGTTAGAAAATCAGGGGCTATCTGGATTTAAATGAGTATTTAACCACTGGGCCTCGTTGGGCATTTTAGATTGTAGTTCTCTGACCTTCTGGGGATCCCTTTGTAAGGGGGAGAATCTCTTCTTGGCCCATCTGCCCTCCTGGCATCCAAGTCCCCCATCCCTGATCTTCACTGTCCCCTTCTGTGGCTCTGTCCGGAGAGATGTGTTTGTCTCCTAGCGGAGGGGTTGGGGTTAAAGTCCTAATGCCAAAGCAGACAACACTAGCTACGAGATTTCTTTAAAAGAACTCTGTGGTGTCCAAGGGTCATCTGCTCAGGACGGGCAAATCTCTTGGTGTACCCCAAGCTATTAGCAAAGGGCTAAAGGCATTTTCAGATTGTTTACACACACACACACACACACACACACACACACAGAGAGGGGCTGACACTGTGGGGATTGCTCTTGTGCAAGAGATTGTGTGCACAGAAGAGGAAAGTGAATTGAAAGCCCTCCTGGTATGGACCGAGGTTTGGTGCTGGATGCAGTCCCAACCCTCAACGCAGGATTGATTGTACTTGTTAATATTCCTGCAGAAGTACCCTTTAGAGCCAGCCTGGCACACGTGGGGCGAGGGGTGCTGGTCAGTCCTCAGTTTCCAGGGTTCCAGCTGGGCTGATGGAAGGGGCGAGCCCTTTGCAATCAAGGCAGGTTTCTGTTTTGATAGACTTTGGGATTTAACCCCTTAAGAGCCACAAAGGTGGCCCGTTTTGCAGGTGGATCAGGGCTGCGGGGTTGCTAAAAGCGCTGTCTAAGGTCACACCTTTTCCTGTTACTCTCTGTGCCCCAGAACGAGCCACCCGAGTGTGTGATGGGAATATTTATTTAACTGCGCGGGCAACTTGTGGTGGTTATTTGTACGGTTGTTATTTTGTTTAGAAAAGCAGAACGCTGACAACTGCTCCCAATAAACACTTTGTTCTTTTCTTGATTTGTTTCGTTCACTTGTTTAGTTCTTAACGTTTCTGGGCCGCTGCGCCTGTTACGCCACGCCCCAGGCTGCTTCTCCGGATGATTCCCCGTGACGTACACATGCAGTGGTGTGCATTGAGCTTGTGGGTAAGGGGCCCCGATGCAACCAGAGCCTTCCATGCCATGGTCCAGTTCCAGATTTACACCCTGGGCCTGACTAACCACAGAAGCCACTTGGAGTTGTCTGCTTATTCCAGGTAGGAATTTGGCTTATGGGGGCCAACTGCTCGTTGCCTTCCACAGGCATTTATACCCGTGCTCTGTGGGTGCACCAGGCCCCCATTCTCATCTGGGTGGGTTGGTTTTACAGCTCTGCACTGCCATGACTGTCCCAGGCACACGGTCCCGGTGAATTGACCCACGGCATCTAGTTGAGTAAACTAGGACGGTTGCAGCCAGGGTGGTGGTTCTGTATTTGTGTTCTGGTAGCGCCTATCCAGCCTAGTCATGGACCGGGAGCCCCGGGGCGCTTGGAGCTGTACAGGCAGAGAACAAAAGACGGGCTCTGTCCCAAAGTGCTGACAGCCCAAGTGCAGTAGTTGGGGAACAAACCTCACCATCCCTAAGCTTGATCCCACCAGGCCAATGGAGATGCCCCGGGGCATCTCTGACATGCTTCAGCAAACGCAATGCAGCTTGCAGGATTCCTTCCGGCGGGAACCTTGGAGTGAAAGGAACGAGAGGAGGAAGAGCCCAGCAGCCGTTAAAATGAGGGAGGAGTCTTGATTTCTTTTTTTAATGAGTAACGGTTCAGCTCCTTCCACTCCAAGGGGCCAAGGAATTGTTCCGTACATGCTGCAGCTGGGCAGCGAGGGGGTAGGTTTATGCACCTAGGGAAGCCCCATCTTGGCCCTGTATCACTGGTAGAGGACGAGACTGTCTCCCCCAGGGGGTCACTGCCTACCATCCCTTGTAATCGGGGCGGGGGGGAGCATCGTGTTCGCAGCAGGATCCTGTCACTTGCATCTCCAGGGAGGAGTCTCCCGAGGATGCGGCGACCCCTCCCTGCTGGCTCTGTGCTGTTACTCGCTTGTTTCTCTCAATGGGAGCTGGGCTGACAGCTGCGTGGGAGCCGCACTCATTCAGCGACGGCCAGGCTCCTCCGCTGGCAGCTATTAATAGCCACTGCAGATTTTAATTGCTGCCGTGCTGGCGTTCGCATGAGTCATGCCACCTCCGGCTCCCACACGGGGATTCGCAGAGAGGCGCTCGGCGGCCTGGCAAGCCCAGTCCACCAGGATCGGAGCTGGGGGCCCTGAGCAGAACAAGGCCTGCCTCCGCGCCCTCCCTCTAGTTCTTTCCCGGCTTCATTCATGCAGAGACTAGAGCCGCCTCCTGCCGGATTGATCTCAGGGCCATTTTAAAGTCTTTCTGAGCAGATTTCAAAAAAATCCCCCCTGCAGAGGCAGTTTTACAGCCACCGGATCAGGGTGGTCCTGGGGGTAGAGCATTGGCCTTGGACACCTGGGTTCCATTCCCAGCTCTGACACTGACCAGCTGTGTGACCTCAGGCAAGTCACCTCCCCTCCTGCTCTTTGTTTGCTTGTCCGTTGGGACTGCAAGTTGGAGACCGGGACCCTCTCACTGTCTGGGCAGCACCCGGTATGACGGGGCCCTGATCGCAGACGCTCTATTGTCATTCATTCCTAACAATAATACCTGTAAAACTCTGGTTTGTCCAGGCAGCCCCCAGCAGCGTCTGGCCGAGAGCTCTGCTATGTTACCGGCAGTGGGTCATGCTGCCAGCTGTTACAATAGCCGGAAGAAGAGTTGCTCTGGAGCAGTAGCTGTCATTGGAAATTGCCAGACTGTATAGCTCTGGGCTGATCCGCACCTCGTGTCCTGTGGTATAAATCTGGAGTCACTCCCTGAAGGCAATGGGGTTACCGGGCTGGGGGAAGCTGGGTGCTCGGAATGTATCCAGTGCTCCGGTGACAGCAAAATGGGCCTGGTTGACTTGCGCAGGGTGTGTGGGTGGCAGCGGCGCGATGCAAGAGGCAGGGTGGTGCAGTGGCTGGGGCATTCACCCTAGGGCTTGGGAGACCCGAATGCAATTCCCCTGCTCCGCCACAGGCTTCCTGGGTGACCACGGGCAAGTCACTTAGTCTCTCTGGGCCTCATTCCCCATCTTGAAAATGAGTATAATCGCACTGGCCAGCGCCGGAGGGGTTGGGATGATAAATTCGTTAAGGCGCGTGAGGCTTAGAAGGGACACAAGGGTCAGCTAAAGTAACCCCCTGCAGGATTGGTTGTGCCTAAACCATCCAGGATAGCTGGCTCCCCAGCCTCCTTTCGAGAACCCTCTCTTGAAGAGCTCCAGGGCAGATCGGTGTGATTGCCCCGAGACATGGCTTCTTCAGCTAGGGGTTGCAAGTGCTGGTCCAGTGGAGTTTACACCAGCGGAGGATCTGGTCTAAGGGTGAGGATCCCGTCCCCGCAAAGGTCCCTCGGCGCCTGCTCCCCATCTCCTGTAAGCCAGTGGGACAGCATGAGTGCGTGGGTTGCAGCGACTGACTCTGGGGTGGGTGAGCAGAGGGTCAGGCTGCTCAGGCAGGAGCATTTCACTTCTTGAGTCTGCATGGTGGCCTACAAGGCAGGATAGGGAATTTGTGCCTGATCCTGATCTCCCTCCGGTGTAAATCAGGAGCAAATCCATTGAGGGCAATGGGGCTCCACCGGCATGAATGGGATCTTGTCCAGACTAGCTGGTTTCAGCCATGGGGGCAGCTGCACCTGTGCAAATCCTCAGTGCTCAGGCGGACGGGTTCACCACCGATCCCCCGTTTGCATGGGTGCCTAGCGGGGCTGAGCTCAGGTGAGTTGGTGTAAATAGCATCTTTGCCTGTTTGCATTGAAGCTGCTACAGTGACTGAAACTAGGGCAAATCCCTAGTGGAGATAAGGCCTCGGGGGGGGACCACCATGCCCCCCTGTCCCAACCTCACCTGCTCCAGGAATTTTGTCCCAAAAGACCGCTGCAGTTTGGTGCATTTCGATCTGTTTCATGATCTTATTAAGCCTTGAATGGCTCTTGGGGATCAGAGCTGGATACGATGCAGCCTCCCAGCTCGGTGGCTGCCGCTGCTGAGCAGAACCGTGGCTGGGCCTGGGTGGCTTCTGCAGTAGCAGAGATTTCCCCGGAGGGAAGGGGCTGCCTCTTCCACCCAAGCTGGGATTTAACCTCAGGCAAGGCAGCAGCCAACAGGCTGGATTTGATTAGGGGCGGAGATGGATCAGAAAACCATCACCCCATTGGTACAATGTGCTGGCAATCTCAGCAGAGCGCCTGGGACACATTAGGCCATGGAGACTGGAAAATCTTCTCCGAGGCAGAGAAGGTGGGGGAGGCTGGGGGGAACTTGCTGCACAGCTGGGCCAGCTTTGGGGTGGCCAATCTTCCGGGCTGCTAAGCTGGCTCCTTTCGGCAGCACTAACCCTTGTCCCTGAAGCTAAATGCAGATGGGGGGCAGACGGTTTCACTTGGACGACCTTGTTCAGATTGGAAGCTTTAGGGGCCAGCTTTGCCCTGTGTTTGTACAGCACCTAGCACAGGGCGGTCCTAGTCCATGACTAATAATTAATAATCCCCTTGGTTTCTCAGATGGGCCTGCCAGCATGGTTACGTCTTTAGTACTCCTATCCAGTGAGAGGATGAAGGCCACCCAGTCATTTGTATGATGGTAACAGTTTCTATTAACCTCCCACCCGGGACGGGTTTGAAGCAGTGCCCAAGACGCAAGATATTGCACCGGGTATCCCATGAAGAAGACCCTGGGCCAGGAGATCTCAAGGACCCAAGACCGTGATCTAGGGATTCCACTTGGCATAAACGGGGGGGAGGGGGGGTTCTGCAGTGGCTTTGGACTGGGACCTCAGCGCAAGATCAGGCCAGCAAAGGGTAGAACTGGGGTTGTTCAATTAAAATCTGAAGATAATTGAGAGGCAGCACATTTTTCAAAATATGGCAGGAAATACTCTCTTATGCCATGTGCAATTAGCCGGTGGAACTCATTGCCACAAGATTGTGCTGAAACCCGGAGTTTGGTAGGGTTTACGAGGACGTTTTGATGGAGAATGAGTTACAACGCTAAGAGGTATTTGTTTAAAAAAAAAAAAAAATTTGGAAGGACTCAACCTCCCCCATCCCTCCCCACTTCAGGGCATGAGTCAGACACTAACTGCTCGAGTCGGAAAGAAACTCGTTCTCTGAGGCCGAGATGGACCTTGCTCTGAGATCTACTGCTGCAATCCCTTCTTAACTGTAAACCAGTAGCAGCTGTAAAGACCTCACGTGTAGAAAGAGACAGTCCCTGTCTAAAAAGTTTGTCTAAACAGACAAAAGGTAGAAGGAGAAACAGAGGCAGGAAGTGACTACCCCTGACCTGCTGACTGACTTTGGGTAAGAGGTGGAACTAGAACTCAGGTCTCCTACCCACTAGGCCATACTGCCTCTCAGCAACTCTGCTCCCTGTAAAATGAGGCAGAGAACCCAACCCCTCCACAGCATCTGCAAACCTTTCTGCTCCTGGTGAGGCTTTTAGCACACAGCCTGAGACACCGCTAGTTTGTTGGTTGTCACCCGCATGTCACTTGAGGATACTTTCTCCAAGGTATCACCTGGGCTCTGTCAGGAGGGGCCAGATGTTGTGATGCTGTGAGACCTTGTTGGCAAAGTTCCAGCACCCAGCTGGCCATGTATAATTTGCATATATTTACATACTTAAAGATCCACCCCCGTAACATTTGTGTGACCTTCCCCTGCAACATCATAGACATTGACCTGTTGGTTATTAGGGGCAATACGCCAATACATTCATAGGAGTATTGGGATCAAATAAATCAACCCAGCTCTATTGACGTGAGCAGCAGTGCATCCGTTGACACCAGCTGAGGACTGGCCCAACACAAGCAGGCTATCAGGAGAAACTTCCTAGCACTGACCTGCATTAGACTGTG